ATTTATCTGTTCACACTTTTCCCCCCACCACCCCGAAATTATTTTTCTCTTTCCTTTAAGAGATACTGTCCAGTTGCTAGTGTGGAAAAGGGTGCTGATTAGTGACCAGTAGTCACACACGTTTACTCTACAAGCACTAGAAATAGTGCAGCTATCACATTTTAAATCTTTTTCCCTGATTATTCTATTCCTCTGTGCTATTTCTCTACTAGGGGGTTAAATTTGCCTATAAGAGATGAGTTCATATAGGATTTTGCCTTAGATAAATGAAGTAAGAAAAAAAATGAGCCAGCATTTCATTGAATGATGCAGTACAATACAAATCAACTAAACTTTTGTTTCAGACCACATCTTGCCTAATTTAATATCGTTAGATTGAGGATTTTGGAGGGTTTTGAGAGGGTGGAACAGACTTAGCACTAGGGCATATTTTCTGAGAGCAAGGCTTATGTTTACTTTTTGGTGTGCTGTAGGACAAAAATGCTTCATTGTGGATAAGCAATCTGTGCATAAACAAAAAAGGCCACGCTCCTTGGTCTGTGTGGGCTGCGAGCCAAACATGTGCAAAGTTGTGTAGGAATTATCCACAAGCCTGATGCTGTAGAGGACTGCAGACTCCTTTTGCACATGTTCACTTGCAGCATTCCTCTCATTCACAGCCATGCCTTCTAAATCCTTTTCAGCCACTAGGTTAAACTTGAAATGATAGCAAGCTGAAATCAAGTCATTTCATACCTAATACCAAAAAAGCTTGCAGTTGCTAAAATAAGGTTTAGAGCGGACCAAGTTCAGAGTAAAAGTGAACAGAGTTTTGGCAGTGTACTAGGATTAGGAATCTAAATTATTAGGCATGAAAGCTATAAATAGGTTTGCTGATAAAGAAGTATGGGTCATATTAGACCTGGTACATGAGCAGGAGCTGCTTGACACAACAGTGTAGACAAAGTGGTGATCACAATTTTGTTTTGGTAATATATTGAAGTTGTAAAACATCATAATTATGATTGAATTCAACAGGAAAGCTCAATTAATGAATCACAGGTTTCTTCATCCTTTTAACTGAAATAAACTGGGCATATATCAACATTAAAAGGGAACATATAAATTTTAATGAGGTGAAAGCAGAGATATTAGAAACTCTTGCCAGTACAAGTTCTTAGTTGTAAAAACGATCTATGTGAACATGTGGCAAAGACAACTTTACTCTGCTCATGTGTCCTTGTAAATTCAACAATAACATTTTCCAAACCTAAAACAAGCTTTGACAAATCAAATATCACTTGTTGCCATTGGAGTTTCTTTCCTAAGCAGAGAAACTGTCATTTACAAGGTAGGGGTGAAGAAGACTTACCATTGAAGTTTGAAGTAAAACAGAAAACATCATAGCGGCTTTTATCTTTATCCCAGAACCCGTAATTCCTGACCCCAGGCACTGTGTTCTTCCCTCCACAGGGCTCCCTGGGTTTGGTGATGGGGTACTGCACGGAGCCATCACTGAGCCAGCCGGCGTTACACCAGTCCAGCCCTGACCTCCAGGCATCGTAGAGCTGGTCAAAGGAGGCGATAACAGAGTCTTGGTCCAGACACGCTCGTTGAGCCTCATGGAAGTTTAAGTTGTAGCGACCCAGACGTGGAGAGTAAGGGAATACAACACCTGAAGTGGTAGAAAGAGGGTGAGTTACCAGACACAGAAAGAGCAGAAGAAAGGGAAACAGCATTTACAATCACCAGAAGGAGAAATAAAGGTTAACCCCATGGTGTGTGTCTGACTGTTAAGTTGTTTTTTCTGAGGGAAAACACATTGTCAGCACATCAGTCATTAGGTACGAGAAGGGGATGGGGCTGCTGCCTTACCTAGACAGCTCCTCTCTCCATAACCTCATCCCTTTCCCAGTGGGAACTGTGCCAGGTCTGCACGTTGCTCCCATCTGCAGCTTTACTGTCCCCACTGTGAGCTCACCCCCGTGCACTCTGAGAGAGCTTAAAGATGAGCAGAGTGGGCTGAAGTTTTGCAACTACAAGTTTTTCATCAGAAAATTCCCATTTATCAACTGTAAGATCAATGTCTCATTTTAAAAAAGTAAATTAAAACCCAGACTAGTTCTATTCTGGAGTTTATATTCCCCTAGTTCTATTATGGGACTTGGGGATTTTCTGACAGTCTTTTAGAAAGAAGAAATTGTAGTACAGAGGCATATGAACTTTTTTCATTACAATGAAATGTTTTGATTGACGTAAAAGAGTGCTATGTTCTTTGTATGGACCCTTGCCAAGATTTGCTGAGAGGTCCAAGACAGTTGATTTTTTTTTGTTTGTTTGTTTTTATTTTATTTCACATTATCCTGGGAACAGGAAAGCATTTCATGCCCAGCTTAATAACCACATTTCAAGGCTAGACTGGTAGGAGGCATAATTTTAGTGTTCTGAGGCCTTGAGGTAGGAAATCTATAGGGAAATAAAATCAGTGAAGTCGTGTGTGGTTTTAGGGAGGCTTTTCTGCTACTTTCCATCTGTTTTTTGGCAGTTTGTCACCACTCAGGGAGGAAGAGCTCCTCACAGAGGGCATCAAGGAGCAGAGTTCCTTGAGCAGAAGACAGGTTTCCCCAGTTGCAGATGGTGAGCCGTGTAGCACACAGCATGCAGCAATGCAAGACAGCCCTGGTAGGAAGCCATCTGAGACACCACCTTCCCTCTCTACCCCTATGGCTGCCAAAGCACTGCTGGCTTAACCAAAGGACAATTGCTGGCGAGCCACTGTGCAAGGAGCATGGACCTGCCAAATGCTTCTTTCCACCCCTGAGGACCAGCCACAGGTCAGCCCAAAGCCCTGTCTGTTGCTCATCGGTGGTCAGCTGTTGCAGACAGGTACAGCTGAGACCTTCTCATAACAGAGGACATCCAATGGAGATGGGAAATGTGGGGACGACTCCAGAATTGTTTCAGCAGCAACATTTAATCAAAGCCATTGCCCTTATCTGACAGATTTTTCCATTGTATTTTTTCTGCTTGTTTTATGAAAAAGACCTATGGGTAAAGATTACTTCTTGACACACGAAAGATATTTCAGAAAATGCTAAAGAATCTCCTCCCCATGTGGCTCTGATAAAAGAGAAGAGTGAGTCTTGAAAGAAAAGTTTGGATCAGACCACCCTAATCTTTGGCAGAGTTTAGAAACTTAACCCAGATCTAAATTTTACAGTTGGCTTTAGCCCAGTCTCATAATAAGCTGAAATAAAACGACATCAGAGAAGATCCAGCTCAGAATGTTTATTCTCAAACATCTCTGTAGAACTAAGTGCTGTAGGATGCAGCGTGACTGAAGACAAGATAACACGAGATGAGCCAAAAACTTTACACTGGTATAAACTTCTATCTTTCTTTTTACTTTCTCCCTGCTGATGAATTTTCCTGCCTATAACAAGCTCCTTGTCTCTGAGGCAATATAGCATAGGACAGAGAAATTACATTATGGTCATGCAAGACTGTCACCATGCAATGAAGCCATTCTTCTTTCTGAACATTCAAACTCACTTCAGTGTCTATTCCACTGGTGTCTTAATGTCTCCTTTCTTTCCCTTCTCTCCCTTTCCCATCCATCATCCAAGAAGTGTTATTTTTGTTAAACAAAATCTTTGTTACTAAACCTCAGTGACTTGATTCAGGAAAATAAAGCATGCAAACATAAACTTGGCAGAGTAATGATAAACAACATTTTGCTCTCCTTCAGCAATTAACTGGAGAGACTGCTGAGGTTCTTTCCTTTTGTAAATCCTTTGTTAAAAGGCTTTTCAGTCATTAGCTGTTCTGAACTATAAAGCATGAATGAAATGTCACACAACATGTGCTGTTAACTGTGACTTCATAAACAAGAAGCTGTAGATGTTTTTCTGGATCTGTGTTTTTCTTTCCTCCTCCTCACCTCTTTTTAAAAAAAAAATATTCCTTTTCTCTCAGTGTTAATGGAGGGAAATATCATTGGCTATGATAAAAATGTAGCAAATGTCAGAGGAATTCAAGCTTTATTACTTTATTAGAAATCCAATACTTCTTATTTTTCCAGAACTACACTTCCCCAGGCAACCAACTCCTTGTCCAGTACATGTCTCTGATTTGCATATACATGTAAAAAACCCCCCTAAAATCATCAGAAGTGGATATTTTTTAACCAAGATCTAAACTTACATACTTCTAAGAACTGGGCAATAATTAACTGGAAACTATTCAAACAGACTGGATTCCTTAAGATTTCTGAAATAACTTTTTAAAAGGGATTAAATATGTATGTAAATTTGTTACAAATCTACTTGAGTTTGACAGTTTGGGACATAACTTTTTAATAACATAAATATGCACAAAACTGTAATATTAGCTTTGGGCTATACTTGGGTAGACTGCATAGAAGCTGTTTTTTGTTTGAGTTCATCTGCAGTACAAGCCTGCAACTGATTAGCATTAATTCCGTCCTGTAGATGGGGGTGGCCATTGATGATTTTGTAGAGCAAAACTGACAGGGTATGTGTTTTGTGCAGCTTCGCATTATCTTGCATCTTTGTTAATATAATTTTCTTTTTGATTTTCCTATCAAGCCTAACAGTGAAATTCACAGCTAGATCTTACTATTCATCCTCCTTTTGTTACAATTTAGCAGTGCTGAACTCCAGTTAATTGCAAAGCATCTTCTTTGGTCTTGGATCTTATAACCCGTCAAAAGATAATCCAGACCATCTGTTCTTTCTTGAATGGACAAAAGCTGTCCTGGGGCTTCTTACTGTTCCCAAACTACAAACTAAATCTCAACTCCTGACTCCAACACTCCATCTCCACTAGACAAAACACTCACTCGCCAACAAATGCAGCTTAGGAAATGGAGGAAGAGAAAAAATTCCAGCCTCAGATAGTTAAAATCTGATTATTTTGTAGGAAGACTGAGTTGAGGAGCCTTAGCTTGACCTTAGTGTTTCAGCTCCTTACCCTAAGGAAGGAGCTGAGACACTTGTGAAGCCTTCATGAGGAATATTAATTTACAATATAGACTTCACAGTGTGGCTTCTCTCCTAAACACGAGGTTCTCTGGAACAGGTCCTACCCCCAGGGAAGGACCTCCTTTTCTCCAAGCATGAGAGGAAAAAACTCGGAACACATCAACTCAGTAGAGAATAAATCTGTGATTGAAAGACGAGGGCAAGGTGAGGCTTGCTGTACAACACAATCACAGTCCTGAAAATGACCATGATAATGGAAATTAGGATTTGTACCGAATTGGAACATAAGAACCAGATACACAACATATCCTCCCATATGCACACTTGTATTTCCATGAATGCCTTACATTAAAGTCTGCAAATGTACAACTCTGCTTCTGCTACTGTGGTTTTTAGGGAATTCAAAAGAGATTATGTTTGTGTGTCTTTTGTAAGCTATTTGTATTCCAGAGTTTTATATATAAGTAATCCCCAAAAATTCAGTGCAAGTGCTTTGCAATTACCCATTCATTACAGACACACTGTTGGTGCAAGGATCTGTAACCATTACCCAAGACAAGGTGAGGAAATAACCTTAGAAAGCTCAACTCCTGTAACAATTTATGGGTGTCAATTAAGCCAGTTCCATACACAATTAGCAGTTTTAAAAGTATTTACACATAGAACAAAATAACACAAATTTATGTTGACTCATATGGGAAAAAGGTTCCTTTCACAGCCAGAGTAAAGAAATGGACTTCCTCAAGTTCTAGCCCAAACAGAAAAGTAAGTTTTCTTGTAGCCAGTGTAAACACCACCTAACAGTAGAGTTTGCTATATACTATACTGTAGGGTACAGTTTTATACTGGCAGGTTCATACACTTAATGGCAACTTTTTCCATGCTGGATTTCTAAAATTCAGTGAAAAGTGGCAAGTTCCTCATTTTCCTTGACAATCCATCTCCGTTTCTCTGCCCGTCAGGACTGTCAGTTATCTGATCATTCAGCACAGACTCCATGGGTGGGCCACTAGCCGTCAGCA